GTAGAAAGTTAAAAACGTGGTAGTAGACGCGTAATTTTTTCAAATTTTAGTGCCTTTTTTGTATGGCTTATTTTGCTATTATTGTGCATATCTTTTGTTTGAGAGGAAGCAGTGTTGTCTCTCCCCTCTCATCTTCATCTCTTGCCTTTGTCTCTCATCTTTGTCATATCTCGCCTCTCATCTTCGTCTCTCTCTCGTCTCCACCCCCTTTTCCGGTGTTTTAGCATAGCGTTCTACACTCCCACTAAATATGCCCAACCGTTCAACTTGCGCTCCCGCTAAACATGCCCAACCGTTCAACTTCAATTCAAATTCTCGAAGCTCAGCTTCCTCGCTTTATCCAAAAATTTCAATGATCAGGATTTACTTTACCAACCAAAACTCCCATTCGATCACTGCAAGTTCGCCGATAATTGCTTATTGGAGTTGCCAGATTTAGCGATAAAATGTTACTAGGCGCTAGATTTGGCCTGATCTAGTTGGGTTGCGACAGGGTTTATAAATTTTGTAAAATTCTATTTTGGTCCCTCATTTTTCTTTATTATTTAATGTAGTCCCTAAACTCTTTAAGTTTTGTTTCAAACTTTGTAACTTTTGATTTCTTTACTTAAAGTCCTATAAAAAAAATCTTAAAATTCTGATTTCATTCAATTCAGTACTTATTTTCAATTTAATGAAAATAAATAAACCAAACATATTTTCTTCATTTTCATTTGTTGAAAATAGAAAATAATTAAGTAAACCAAATACATTTTCTAAAGTTCAAAATTCTAAAAAAAAATCTTTTTAAAAAATAGAAAGAAAAAATGAAAATAAGAAACATTTTCGCAAACCAAACACCACCTAATGTTGCCTAAAAAATCTAACATTCAGATGAAAATCTGTAAATTAGTCGATATTTACTCACTGAATTAAAGTAGATAGATTTGGCTAATTCCACGAATAATTTTGACGAAATTATGATTACTTCAAAGCAGAACTAGGGCGGCACAGATCTGTCTGTGAACATGACGAAGAGTCGAGGGTTAATTCCAGCAGAGGATTTTGGATTGAATGAGAAGACGAAGACGCAAAGAAAGACAACGACCAATATGTCGCTGTGGTCAGCCCTTCTTCCCTCGGAATTACTGGACGTAGAGATCAAATTCGCTTCCGCTGCTTTTGCAAGGGCTGGTTAAGCATTTCGCCTCCCGAGAATTAGATCAGCGATCAACTTCCATGGACAATTCTCTTCCACATGCGTTGTAGGAACACACACGATACCTTGGCCTACAACCCTTTTTTTTTTTGATACAATTCATCTTAACCCTTACTACGTCAATTTTTTCATTTCTGTAGAGTAAACTCTTGCCCTCCAAGCTTCTAAATATGGTTGACTCTTACTCTCGCAGTATCATCTTGAATTTGTTGGCGCATCATTTTTCTTATTGTTATCTTTCACCAACCAAATCGTGGAATTGCCCGATTTGGATTATGACTTGAAAGGCTTCAGAGGTATACTTCTTGTAGCCACATTTTCTCACTCGAATCCTCGTTCTACTCATTGCATTTTCTTGTACCGGTCTCGTTTTCTTAAACAACTTCTGATCGACACATACAAATGCGGTAACGAGAAGTGGGCCACTTGAATATTCAGTAATGCAAACACGAATATTTATTGTGTATTGTACATGGCGGGATTTTTCATACGTGTATCCAAAACTGGGACATTTGTCGCGTGTGACGCTGTCGAGGGAAACTGAGTAGTTCTCTCCTCGGGATACGACGGGATATTCAGGAGATTGGCTCTTTATCACATACTTGAGTGTAAAGGAGACTTAGTATACATGAATTACATCCGATCAATTGTAGACATATGCAAGTTTGATTATTTACTCTGTGCCTGGGTTCAACAAAGCGGAAGCAGCAATTGGTTGACAGATGGAGCATTGTTTCTTGGATGTAGCTCTTGCTGGGTTCCTTTTCCGATGGCAGCCAAAGATTTAGCGAACAAGATATACTACTTTTGACAGGAATGGATATCTCTGTTTTCATTACTTAAATGATCGTAAGAAGCACAAGTGCAGTGTTGATAATTTCTCTTTATCAGGGTTGGATTAACCGCAATGGCAATGGCCGGGTGAGGTGCCGAGAATGGATTCATCAACCTGGTGGACTACTTCAAAGTCTAACTAGGAATGTTCCAACGTCTCATTGATTTTGAAGAAGTTATTTTGACCCTTGTACTGTAGAAGTTATTCTGATCCATCTTTTGAAATAATTTGTTTGTCACACGATATAATTTCTCACCATCTTATTTGTTTGGATGGTAAGATGTGAAAATGTGAGAAATTTTTGGTTAGGTTCTTGTAGAGATAGATGGAAATGTGTAGTTTAATCTGAATCTGTGACCCTGGGTTGTGTAATCCCCGCAGTGGACTATGTTACCTGCATATATGAACTGTCATGATTGAATTAGAAGGATTGCAGACCAGTCTATGCGATAGATTATGAAAGAATATCTGCGAAAGTTGTCACGAAGAATTCTACTCGTAATATTCTGGCATTTTCAACAACCCAAGGTCCTTCAATTTACCAGGTTACTATGAATTCTTCAGTAACATTCGGGTTCCTTGTTCATCTGATAGTCACAGTCCCAGTCCCAGCCCACCAAGCAATTGAATGGCGAAAAATGTCAGATATGTGGAGATACTGTTGGACTTTTACCTCCACTGGTGATGTTTTTGTTGCCTGCAATAACTCTGCCCTTCCAGTTTGTAGAGCCCCACTTTAGACCTTTTGGGCTTGAAGGTGAGCTATTAGCACCTCTATGTAAATTTGTGATTTTACCCGGCTTTTAAGTTACTTTTTTTTTTTTTTTTTTAAAAAAAAGGTTCAATTGCTGATTTATGGATTGTTCTAAGAAATCTAAATTAGAAAGTACCATTTATTTTATAAACAATAGGTACATAAATTATTTGAATTTGTTTTAGAACATGATCATATATGGAATGATTCTGATTTTTTTTTTTTTTGCCATGCTTTAATTTTTTACTTTGCGTAACTGAACTAGGAGTCTGGAACACATATTTGCTTGTAGAATTTTGGGTCATAAACGCATCATATTTCCAAGGTATGTGTTGAAATTCTCAGTACTATGCCCGAAACCAATTTGTGTTGTTTCTGTTACTCGGCTGACCATGTTAATTTTATGTCACCTTAGTTCCAGTGAAAGCTACAAAGGATTTGCATTCATATGGCCTTGGAAACGTTGACTGGAAGAAATAATGGAAACTTGAAACAGTAAAAGATATGATGCATATATGTATGGGCAACAACAAATACACTGAAGGAAAGGGGATGATATTGAAGGCATGGGGCTGGCCAGATGGAGAACTGCAGATGTGACTGTGCTAACCGGCCGTTAAAAGTTAACTGTGCAGAGTGAAGTAATTGTTGACTACTTGAGAAATGAAAATCCACTTTTGCTGTCTCTAATTCACGAAGGTATGCATACTCATGGTAGGAAATGAAAAGTACCCCAAAATATTTATTCATTTTCATTATCTTAGTTTATGTTTTGATATTGTACTTAAAAAGTATTGTTTTTATCTCCCACAAAAAAATAAATCTCATATGCTCATTATAAAAAGGTGTATGACTCACTTTTGTGTAAAAAATGAAACCAATGCCTTTAAAAATATGTATGTAATGTTTGTTTATAGTTTCACATATTGTTAATTTTGATTATTTTTGTACATTGTTCAATATGTCTTAAATAAGCATTCTATAAAATAATAGATACACCTTGGAGGATTATCCTCGGCCCTTCCAAATGCACAAATCCAAATGTGGATTGTGGTGGTCAAATTAATGGACAATGGCGGTCCTTCTTTATTATTGTTATTATATTTTATGGTATTAGGACAAAGGTTGTGTGTGGATATATATTGATATGCATAATAGTTACATTAAACTAAAGGGCATAAATAAGTATTGATACATATAATTTCTAATACAGTCATCACATATGACCAAAATGGCACAATCTATATTCTGTTCGTTGATGGTGACATGCCCTTGAATATATTTCCCTTAAATTAACTTAATAGCTATCTCCAAAATTTATTTCTTTTCAAACCAGAAATATATTTAATAATTTTTTTAATTTGAATATTTTCCTTAAAATAACTTAATGGCTACTTCCAAAATTTATTTCTTTTTACACCAGAAATATATTGAATAATTTCTTTTTAATTTCAATGACATTTACAACCCTAAATTAGAGGATTATAGAATTTCTTTCTTTCTTTATTTCTTTCCTTTTCATTTTCTTTCTTTTTTTTTTTGGGTAAAATGGGAAAGCAAGTAAATTACCCCATAGTATAGAACCCCAACACCTTGTTAGTGAGGTTAGTAAGATATCAAAGTCAGCAATCTGCTTCTACTACAATTACTGGAGTTTGGAACTTCATAGTTTAAAACTAGAAAATAAAAAATTTCTGGTAGATGGGGATTCCATTAACACTGTTAATTGTAGTTTATTAATCTGTATCTATCTCCATTCTTTCTTTTTTCTTTTTCATTTTTTTTTTTCGAATTTCATTTTCCTTATATTTATATAATAGTCGTCCTTTTTCTGTGTAAGACAGAAAGAGACAGCCAGGGAAGAAACCTCCAATTCAGACAATCTCATGGGTACTTATACATACATAAATTGTATAAATCCATAAACTTGAAGACAGGCAAAGAAAATCCAAAAGAAAAAGAAAAAAAAAATGTGAAAAATATTAATTTGTTAGCTTTTTAACAGGGCAGGGTACCTCCATTTGGCTCCATCTCTTGAGCAGCTGTCCTGTCTGATTCTTGAAGATCAATTTTTCCAAATTAACTAAGTTGTCCAATTAGTGCTCACAGGACGGCTAAGAGATAAACAGTTAAAAACCCAACATGAACAACCGTATTACTCACAAAAAAAAAAAGGAGGGATCATAGATGGCACTAGGTTTTTAAATCTCTCAATGAATCACTCGCAAGCTTTCCTCGTAGTCCTCTTCTTGCTCTTCCATTTCAATGCCCAAAACAGCTTTGCTCTACAAGGCTGGGGTACACCCAACCCAAGCTTCTCAATCATAATGTGTGTTCTCATCGTTATGCTCTGCCTGGTTCTTCTTGTGCTTGCATATGCCAAGTTCTGCCTCTATTCTCCACCTGATCTTCCAATCCCTCCACAAAGCCTTCGCCAACTTATTCAATCGAGCTCTAGGTTTTCTGGGATTGATCAAGAAGTGATTGAATCGCTCCCTTTCTTCACTTTTTCTTCCCTAAAAGGTTCAAAAGAAGGCCTTGAGTGCGTGGTTTGCTTATCAACATTTGAGCAAAGTGAAGTTCTTAGGTTGCTGCCCAAGTGCAGGCACGCCTTCCACATGAGCTGCATTGATAAGTGGCTCCAAAGCCACTCCAGCTGCCCTCTTTGCAGGTAGGCATGTCCATAGTCGATCTGCTCCTCTATGGTAGAAAATATGAGAAAAAAGAAAAAAGAAAAAAGTTTTAGTTTGTTTTCCAGTTTAGAATAATAAATATTATTATTTACTATTGTGGTATAATTATTTATATATTATATAATCTTATTGTATCTCTAAAATATAACATGTGATATACAATACATACCTAATCATAGATTAAATGTATATTTATTAATGTCTCAATGGGGTTTAGTTTAAACTAGTAAGTGGCAAACCGAAACCAAGTCTTTTGGTTTTGATATTTTTCGAGGACCGGAATAAATCGATTTTGAGAAAAAAAAAATAGAGCCAAACCAATCTCAAAATTTGACCATCTTTTTTGAACACTGCCATGTTTGCAGGCAGAAGTTTGATGCTTGGGAGCTCACAAGCTATAGCCACACGAATAGTATGAGATACACGGGAAATTCTTCAAATCTAATCCCGGATGTACATGTTGAGCTCATTGTTGAGAGAGAACAGGACGGTCAAAGTCAAAACTCGTCGAGATTTAAATTGGGTAAGCCAAAGAAGGAAAATATGTTGGTTCAGCAAGACGAGATTCAGAGAGTCTTCCATAAGTTCAAGCACAAGATCGTTGTCTCTGACATCGTTCACAAGAGCCGATGGAGTGATCTAAACTCTTCCGACTTGATGTTCTTGAACTCCGAAATGACTGGCTTCATGTCAAGCAAGAGGTTCTCTTTGAGTTCAAGCAGTAGATCCCAACTAGGGTTTTCCATAAATGATCAACTTGAGAAGGTTAAGGAGGATTTAGAGAAGAAGAGGGTATTCGAGTCTGGAGTTTGTAAGGTTAGAGGGAGTGGTTCATTTCCAGGTTCAAGTTCTCCTTCTGCTTCTAACAAAGAAAGAAACCAAGGTACAATCTCAAGTCTCCTCACTCCAGAAGAGAAGAGATCAATGTCGGAGATAGCTAACCTTCCTAGGATCAGAGAGTTATCTTTACATTATGGAAATAATGGAGGAGATGAGAGGAAGAGGAGGATTTGGATGCCCATTGCGGCACGAACAGTAGAGTGGTTTGCAAGCCAAGGAAGAAGATCAGAAGAATCAGAAAGCAAAACCCAACTATCAAATGTGTAAAATTTGATGACAACTTCACAAAATTACCACTGAAAGTGTTTTTTTAGCGAAATAGTACCGAAGTACTGAAATAATATGCTTTTACAATCCCTGATTAAATCACCTTCGGTAATTTTTTTTTTTTTTAGAAAAACTAAATTTAGAATACAGATTTTCTGTGACCGAGACAATGGGTTTATGTTAAACATTATATTATAAGGTTGAGGTGAACGAGAATGGAGATTTTAAAATAATAATAATAATAATAGTAATAGTTGTATTTAATGAATTTGGCAACTTTAGATAGAGCTATAAACATATTATATTTTAATTAAATCAGTCAAATTTAAATTCGAATTCAATTATTCATTTGTATACCTGAATTCGATTCAAAATTTTATAAAATATATGAGCCTGTTAATTCATATTCAAATTTGATAAAGGATTTAATTTGACAAAAAAATATTATTTTTTTACATTTAAATCCTTCAACTTTATTTCATAATCATGTTAATCACTAAATTTTTTAATTTTTCCATTATACAAATTTGAATTTATTAATAATACATATATATAAGATTATTAAATTAATTAAAAATATTATTGCAATTTAAATTCGGATATTTAATAAATTAAATTATTTAATTTCATATCTAATTTATATATTTCGGATTACGAATATTTATAATCGAATTTGATTTATCAAAAATTTTAATCAAATTCAAATCTTGAAATTTGAATCAAATTCAAATCATATTTAAATTAAATTCCAACTATTCATAACCCTAACCCTGGGAAGTTGGAACTTTGTTGTGTAGGATTGGGCTATTCACTGTTTTTCTATAGGGTTCAAGGTTTTGGAATACAAAGGTGAATTTGGCATGGAATTTTGATTAGGAATGTTTGGTTTTAGGGTTCACATTTCGTTTAAAGTTAAGCTTTCAACTAAAATTACCATGTCTAGTTTGTTGTCCTTCTCCAGACGTAGATCTATTAATTATATAATTATTTTTAAAAAACATATTTCATGTATAAAATAGTAATATCCTTAATTGATTACAAAGAAAAGGTAGAAATTGATTGATTTTTTGTTTGTTTAGATATTGAAATGGATTGATTAATTAATTATATCAGAACAGCGAATTCATTTAGACCATAAATCAATGACTCATTGGATTTGTATCCCCCTAAAGTGTGGGTCTAATGCACCCCCTCATCTTTTTAATTTAAAAAATAAGACCCCCAGGCTATGAAAAATTGTTTAATATGTCCCTCTACTATCTTAGTGGCTCACATAAGAGAAGTATTTTATTTGCTCCCACGATGATGTATCGGATAAGGAGTTTAAAAATTTCTTTTTTTTTTTTAAACTGAAGAAGGACAATCAACTCTAAACAACTTCCTTAAAAAAAAATTCTCCTAATTTATTAATCTCTTTCTTGCCAAATCCAAAACCACTTTTCAAGAATTTTTTGGTTTTTCCTTTTTTTATATATCGAAAGGAACCCCCTTGAATTTTTTTTTTTTTTTGGTTAAACAACAACCCCTTGATGTTTTGAAACCTTACAAATTGAGGGAGGGAGAACTTTTTCTTTTGAAAAAACCCAAAGAATATAGTGGATGTTGATCAAGACCTGGGCATTTCTAAATTGGCTGGGCCATACTAGCTGGACTGGGCTTAAAAATTGGACTGCTGGAATTAGCCCATCCGAGTTCTCATCTCAGTGGTGTTGGATAAGGAATGTGATTGGTTTTTTGAACTTTTTTCAGCATTTTTGAATTAAGCTCACTAATTGTTAAGAGGGGTTTGGAAGTGCTGGCAGGAAAAAAGGTTATTGAATTTTTGAACTATAACAGAATAATATAATTTAATTAAGTATTCCTATTTTAAAACTAAATGACACCATTTGCTATGAGATACATTAAGCTTATAGGATTTTTATCTAAAAAAAATTAAACTTGTATTTTTTTGGCTCTCTCTCTCTCTCACTCTCCTATCTCTGATTTTCTACAACTATCCTTTTTCTTATGAACAAGTGAGTTGACTCAGTAATAAAGACCTTACTTCACTCCATATTCATTATTGGCTCGGATTCTTACCCATACAAACCCCTGTTCAAAAATAAATAAACAAATAAATATAAATATAAAGAAAGAAGGAAGGAAGCATTTAGCATCCAACATTTGAGAACAAACTTCTATTTTATGGAATAAAAAAATCAAATTATTTTTTCTCTTTTATAAGTCGTACCAATATTAAGAGGAAAAAAGAAAAATTCTATTCCTGAAAAGTATTGAATCATATATGGACTAACTGAGATACTAGATTTTTTTAATTTAAAAATAATTTTAAATGTTGAAAATGAACTTATCAAACACGTACTAATCTCTAAAAATCTTACTAACTTGTTTGACTTTGATTAGAAATATTATGGAATACACTACAAATTATATTAATTCTATTTAGAATATTGTAACAATCTTTCTTTAATGGTATACTTTCACGAATCAAACTTAATTATCTTTCATGTAAACAAGAGTATCTTATTATTTATATTATATTTTTTGTTATTTATATAGATAAATATATAATATATATTTGTTAATAATAAAAATAAATATTACAATTTTGTCCGTGCAAATTGACTAAGTAATAATAGTTTTTACCATAACTATAGTATGCACGAATTTAATTATTTCCCTCAACGAGGAATTGATTTGCTTTTTTTTTTTTTTTATTCTTGAAGTTGAGTGTGGAGGTCATATGAGCCGATGAGGCGATTTTTTTTTTCCTTTTTGGGATCGCCCTTAAATTACCAAAAAATTTATAAAATAATGAAAATAAGAATTTTAATTTTAACAAATTAGGTCATTATTAATTTTTTAATCAATATTTGTATTTATAGACATCTTAATGAAAAATTTGTTAAGAGCATTAATTAGGGATAATGTTTGAGTTTAAAGGATATGGATGAATTAAGTATTTGGTTAAATGATTAATTAGTTTAAATTAGAATTTGATCTTATTATTTATACTAAAAATTATCTCTAATTTAAATAAGAGATTAAAAGTAGATAATGTGAAAATTTATTTCATTTATTTGATTATTTAACTTAAAAATCAAGAGTTTTTCCCCTTAAATGTTATCGAGTGGCAAGAGTTTCTTTTTTTTTTTTTATCTATTAAATTTAAATTAATTTTTTTAAACACTAAGGTTTCTACAAGAATAAGAATTTTTTATAGTCCGATGAGAGAGGTTTTATTTTGTGGAAATTAGTTAAATAAAAATAATTATTTATAACTTTAAAATATCCAACTTTAGAGAGAGAGAGAGAGAGAGATAGAGGGAGGGGGAGTTGGTTTGATGCTGGGTGCTACCTCACCCTAGCAGCGTGACACGTGTGCACTTAATTTAATTTTTTTATTTTTTATTTCATATTTATTTAATTAAATAAAAATTAACTGCTTAGATAAATTCATTAATGTTAATATTTATTTTGATTGTGTATATTAATGTTAAATTTTTTAGATTTTTAAATTTTTTGTGTTTTATTTTTAAATTTTAAAACAAAAATTAGTTTTTTGTGTTTTATTTTTAAATTTAAAAAGTAAAAAAAAATAATTTGATTGTTTATAAAATAATTTGATATTTAATATTATATCTATTTTTTTATTTAATTAAATATGAAATAAAAAAATTTAAAAATAAAAATTGCTGGGGTGCTGCCAACTAGGGTAGCACCCAGCATCAAACTAACGGGGGGGTGTGGAGGACTTGCTTTTAATTGGCCCTTGTCTCTCGCTCGGCCAAAATTCTCTACTGTCCAGGATTGGCCCCAGCCACATCGACATGATCACCGTGCACTCCCCAACTGTCTTCTTCTTCAGTTTGACC